ACACAGAGATCCCACTACACAGAGATCCAACTACACAGAGATCCCACTACACAGACATCCCCCACCACAGAGATCCCACTACACAGAGATCCAACTACACAGAGATCCAACGACACAGAGATCCAACTACACAGAGATCCAACCACACAGAGATCCAACTACACAGAGATCCAACTACACAGAGATCCCCCCAAAAAGAGATCACCCCACACAGAGATCACCCCACACAGAGATCCCACCACACAGAGATCCCACCACACAGAGATCCCCCACACTGAGATCCCACCCTACAGAGATCCCACTACACAGAGATCCCCCACACAGAGATCCCACCCTACAGAGATCCCACTACACAGAGATCCCACTACACAGAGATCCCACTACACAGAGATCCCACTACACAGAGATCCCACTACACAGAGATCCAACTACACAGAGATCCCCCTACACAGAGATCCCACTACACAGAGATCCCACTACACAGAGATCCCACTACACAGAGATCCCACTACACAGAGATCCCCCCACACAGAGATCCCCCCACACAGAGATCCCCCCACACAGAGATCCCCCCACACAGAGGTTCCACCCTACAGAGATCCCCCCACACAGAGGTTCCACCCTACAGAGATCCCCCCACACAGAGGTTCCACCCTACAGAGATCCCCCCACACAGAGGTTCCACCCTACAGAGATCCCCCCACACAGAGGTTCCACCCTACAGAGATCCCCCCACACAGAGGTTCCACCCTACAGAGATCCCCCCACACAGAGGTTCCACCCTACAGAGATCCCCCCACACAGAGGTTCCACCCTACAGAGATCCCCCCACACAGAGGTTCCACCCTACAGAGATCCCCCCACACACAGATCCCACCACAATCACCACCCGCAGATCTGCCCGGTCACCATATAGGTGTCTACAATGCCATGACACAGTGCAGACTCTGCAGGTAACATTGGATCGGGTGAGCAGAACAGATCCCGGCCCCGGGCCCCGTACACAGAGAGGAATACATTCCAGCGATGTCATGTCGGTCCCCTGCTTCCCCCATAGTGTCATACT